CAGAACTTGCACTCCACCATCTCTGCCTCCATAATGTGTTTCATAAGCATGTGCTAATTACCGACTTGAAATGAGAACTGTTTCTCATGGTTAGATGGGATAGTGGGCCGGGTGTTGTTACCTTCAGAAATAGGACTAAGACCATGTAAACCTAGAGAAAGTTGGGAGTGGCCAGAGTCTTCCTGAAATATTCCACTGTCTGTCCTTGATTGGCGGCGAGTGAAGAGCTGGCTCTCATCTTCCCATCCCAGCAGTGTCTGCTGTTCACTTCTCTCCATAACTCTGGCAAGGCAGGGGCAGCAGGGACCGCACTTCTCCATGACATAGCGGCTGATCTTAGTGTCGAAGCACAGCAGTAAAACGTAGAGCCCGTAAATGAGCAGCAGCAGCGCTCCTTCATACCTGGAAACGAGAGTGTATGTATAATTGAGCCAATCTAGAATAATTTTAAACAATGTTTTCTAACAAAAGCAGCATTCAAAAAGTCAAGGAACTTTTCTGAAACACTTTTCCTGCCCAGTCTTGGTTATAGTATTGTTATAAACTCATTGATAAAAGCCAGACAGTTTATTTATTTTTCAAAAAAAGATTATAAAATCCATCATCTGTCTTTATAGATTCCTTTAAATATGCCCTGAAAATAGATGGAGGTTTTTCAAACTAAAACTAATAATGGACATTTTCTAACTTATTCATTGACATACTTACTACATTCCTCAAATATTTAATAATTAGAAAAGAATATACTGTTAGATTTTCTGGTGTAGGAACTTTGTGTGAAATATTCAAAATATGTTAGATTTAGGTAGAACTTTGCAATTTGCTCTCCAGAGATTTAGAAGAAATTTGGAGGTGGGAATTTACTGGCTTTTGAGACAGGGTTTCACTGTGTAGCCCAGGCTGGTCTTGAACACTGTATACCCTTGATTGGCCTCAAATACTCAAATTCACAATTCTCCTACCTCTTCTACTTGAGTTTTGGGGTTTTAGGTCTGCACTATTTCCTCCTTTGACTATTTTATTGCAGCTGAATTTGGCTTATACTCACAAGAGATCAAAGATAATTCTTAAAAAATGAACTTCCAACTTAAGGCACCAACAATTGTCTATTATTTGGCTTCCCACCACTTTACTGTAATTATTAGCTAATTTCATCACATTTGAATATTGTTATTTTATTTCATAGCCAATGAATCACTCCTCTGCTGTAGCTTAAAAAAAAGTTTTTGATTTCCCTAATGAGGGAATGTGTTTATATGTGCTTGGATATTGTCATGCTCCCTGTCACAGATGACAGCTGAATCCCAGGGTTCTTTGTTGAATAGTAGCCTGGCTTTCCATTTATCTTGTTTTTCTCTCTGTTGGGCATTGTCTGGACACATACATGTGTGGCCATATGTTTTATATTTCTTTATTTTGTGGTGCCCAGCATAATGATAATGTTTTGTTAGAAAAACAATCCTAGGTAAGACAGTGATTCTCAACCTGTGGGTTACAACCCTTTTGGGGTTGAACAGCCCTATCACAGGGATCACCTAAGACTTATCTGCATATCAGATATTTACATTAGGATTCATAACAGTAGCAAAGTTACAGTTCTGAAGTAGCAATGAAAATGTTATGTTTGGGGATCACCACAACATGAAATGTATAAAGGGGTCACAGGGTTAGGAAGGTTGAGGACCATTGGCCTAGGAGATGCTTGGGCCGATTTGGGAAGTTTCTATCTGCCCACCGAGTCCCTTGCTTCTTCATTTTCTTCGGCCAGCTAGGTGTGGAGAGATTGTGGGAAAGCAGCAGGTTTCTAGTATTGACATGTAACATTCTTGGTGGTTAGAGAAGGCTGCAGTTCCCTCTGTTCTGGGAGGATGGGAGAAACTATAGGAATGCAGGGGCTTCTGCTTGTTCGCCAAGCTTTTGTGACTATGACCACTTCTAACCAAGGCCAGGTAGGCAACAGCCTCGTAGAAGAGAGCACCAACAGCTGGAGCTTGAAGTGACAACAAACTGGGCAAGTTCTGAACAAGGAGGCCATGGTAAAATGGAAGAGTGGCTGCCTCCAGTGACGAGGAGAGGGAAGCTGCCTGGCTGACAATGGGAAGGAAAGAAGAAGAAGCCGTCAGGAGTTGTGTGAAGACATCAGCTGAGACTGGAGTAGTTGCTGAAGTGACAGGTCCTTGAGAAGTGAGTTGAAGTAACGTTTTAGAAAAACTACACTACTAAGCCATCAGACTGCAAAAAATCTCTGTAATTATGTTTCACATACAAGTGACAGTTATTTGAAGCTTACCAGTAAACTTGGTTGTCAAATATTATGCCAAAAACCGCTCCTACACTAACTGCGTACACTGCACAGTCTCGGAACAGGGGCCAGCATGAGAGTGTTGAAACCTGGAAAAGGGTGGTTTGATTTACTGTCTACATTACAGCCTAAGTCATTCAAGAACAATGCTTAGTATAATACCGAAATTGCTTGTATATTTGTGGAAAAATATTGTTATGTTTTACATAGAGAGAAATGATTTTAAAGAACAATTGTTCTAAACCTGTACTGACTTTTAAAAATTTGATTAATAAAAGGTATTTGTGGGTTAAATAAATTGAATGAATGTTTTTCTACTGGTTATAAAATTTGATTGAATGCATTTCAGGGCTGTGTTGTTCATCAGGCTGTTTAATTTTAGAATCTGTCAAGACAGTACATCTCACTGAATAGATCTCTTACCGTGTGGGATAACAAGCCACAGGCCGCACAGATGCCAAGGAGGTTGTAAATGGCAGATCCTAGAATGGTGCTGATGCCAATATCTCCCTTTGTGAGAAATACACCTGGAAGCAAAATAGTAGCTAAGTTAAAGCTGACTTGAAGAAACTAAAAACACACTGAATAAGCAGCAAGTTGAAGGAATATTTACCCAAGAAGGCTGTAACTAGTTCGGGGGCGGAGCTACCTGCTGCCATGAAAGTTGCACCTGCAACATCCTGCGACAGTCCAAGGGCTAGAGATAAAGGAAATGATTACTAGGGCTGATGAAATGACAAGTGTATATAACCGAGCTGCATAAAGATACTCAGAAAGTATGCCTTTACATTATACCTGAAGCTGGAAAGTGAAACATTCAGGTTAGAAAATAGAGGGATCTTGTGTCTTGCTTTCTTATGAATTCTTTACTTAACATTTTTACAGAAAGGAGAGGAGGGCTGGCGAGATGGCTCAGTGGGTGAAGATGCTTGCCGTGTAAGCCTGGCAACCTGAGTTCAGTTCCTGGAACCCATGGAAAGATGGAAAGAGAAATCTTGTCATTTGGCCTCAACAGTTGCACCATGACACATGTACATGCATATACACACATACAAGATAATAAGATGGCTTAGGGGGTAAGGGTGCTTGCCACTAAGCCTGGTGGCCTGAGTTCTATTCCCAGAACCCACATAGCAGGAGATAACTGAATGAGAAAGTTGTCCTCTGACCTCAACATGTGCCATGGCACACCTTTACTCCCAAACAAATAAATAAATGTAAAACTAGCCAATTCAGAGTGGATGGCTTCCAGCTGTAGGTGAGCTGCAAAAATAACTCCTTTGAAAACCACATTACAGTAATTCAGGATTCCTAACCTAACTTGGAAGAAGAAAAGTTCTTAAGATCTACAATGAGGTTGGATTGAGTTTACACACTTTTAATACCAACATTATCTAATGGGAAATAAGAGGAAGTCAATAAAAAGCTTGATCTAGCATTACAAAAATTACACTAAAGCATGAGAAAGTCCTGTGTTATTACTTGAGGAGTTTGTGGGTATCTTCCAGACTTAGCATGCAAATCCATTCACGTAACTGATGTTAGGAAGTCTTGTGTGGCTTTTTCAGTGTTAGAGCTGAGAGGTCTATTTAAGGAAGGAAAAAAAAGCCATAATGAAGAAACAACTCAGTCTTTTTTTTTTTTTTTTAAGAAATCTCCAGGTACTGGTCAAGTTTAAGGTGGAGGTAGTATGCTAGATGGTAAATTACTCAACTAGAACGTGTGTGTGTGTATGTGTGTGTATGTGTGTGTACATGTTTATGTGTGTATGAATGTGGAGGCCAATGTCAGTGTCGAGTGTCTTTTCCTTACTTATCACTTTGAGGCAGTCTCACTGAACCTGCCACTCATTGGCTAAACTGACTGGTCAGGAAGCCTCAAGAATCCTGTTTCTGCCTCCGTTGGCTTTTCATATTTGGTCCTGGGGATCTGAACTCCGCAAGCTTATGTGCCAAGCATATCATCCCCAGACACTAGAATTTGGGTTTCTAAGACTTGATGGCAGTCCTTTCTTGGTGAGAACTGCTTTTACCGTTCCTACTGCTTTGTGCCTAGTTTTTTGGTTTTCAAACTCTGGTCTACTTGGGTCAGTCTGTCATGGGTGGCAGTGTTTCCCTAGGCTTGTCTATGAAGACTGTTCTTGCTTGCTCTTAAGTACTCATTTCGTTTCTGCTGGAACATTGATTTTTGGCCTTAGAAATTCCTTGTTTGGGGTGTAGCAGATTGAATTCCCCAAAATTTACTATAATATTTTTATTCCACATCCTTTCCAATAATTTTTCTGTCTTATTAGAGAAGGGGACTGAGCATATGGTTCAGCGGTAGAGCACCTGGCTAGCATGTGTGAACACAGACGAGTCTTTATGACTGTTGCTTTGACTAATTGAGGGCCATGGCAGAGTAAGAATGTTTGCAAGACCAGGACACCAAAAAATGATAGAATTTCCTCAAGTGTCCTCTCTTGGGACATTTGTTTTAGTGCCCTAGACACCATGTAAGTCCTGCTATCTTGAAACCTCCAAGTAGGAGAGACCTCATGAACCCATATTGAAAGACAAACCCCCAACATCCTTGCTTTCTTAGCCTCCAGATTTTGAGTCTTCCACACTTAGGTAGCAGGCATGTGGTAGAGCAAGCCTTCAGTGATTGCATATCAGTCCTCTCACTATGACTGCAGTGGGGACCCTGAGCAAGAACCTGCTAGCTGAGCTCAGTAAAGCCCTCAGACTATGAGGGACAATAAAAACGATGTTTGGGAAGCAGTTTGTTAAGCAGCTGTCACCACCTGCCTTTCTTTGCTGAGTACCGATGCCAACTATGCCAGGTACTCATGTGCCAGGATGTGACAGTGAAGAGACAAAGGCTTGTGGCTTTATAGTGTGGGGGAGGGGCAGACAAGCAAAATACATGGGTTTTAGAAGCAGCAAAGAGTGAAAATAGAGAAGATCTAAAATGTCATGGAATAAGAAGTAGCTTCAGAGGGGAGGCTTTGAAATGAAGGTGTTACCCCATGCATGTGGCTACAAGTATTATAGACAGGTTAAGTGCCTACAGCCATGCTGAGGCAGCATCTATAGAACCTGTATATTTGAAACGGACCTGAGTCTGGAATGAAGAGCGCCAAGGGAAAACAATAGGTGGTAAGATTGGAGGTACATCACGAATGGCCTTGGGGACCCTACAAACTAAGCTTTGGCTTTTCTTCTGAAACACAGAAAACGTTAGTGGAAAGGCCCCGGCTACCATGTTTATCCTTTGGAACTATCTGATGTGAGGCTCTGAACAGATCTGCTGAGTCTTCTGCCCCCTGATACCTTAATTGTGAACAGGGTTGAGAGCAGTTGGAATGAGAGAATCCAGTCCAGGCCTCGTCTATTCCTGTTTGCCTTTGTGTCAATTATATTTGGCTTCAGTGAACAATGAAGGGAGAAGAAAGAAATGACTTGTGGACTTTCATAGTGTTTCTTTTAGTACTTAAGACTGACATACATATGGGACATATGTAAATCTTACATACCCTGTCCCCACACATTCCATACCTCAGATCCAACCACCCATGCATCAAAAATATTCAGAGAAAAAATTACCTTCATTCTGAATATGGACAAGACTTCCCCTGAGTACAGTGTAGAGCTATTTGCACACACTGCATGTTGTATTAATTATAAACCACTTAGAAATAATTTGAAGTACTTCAGAGGGTGGTGAATACTATGCAAACACAATAGATAATTTTATATGCCAGATCTGAGTGTCCTCAGAATTTGATGTTCTTGAAGATGTCCCAGAACCAAACCTCCAAGAGTACTGAGTTATGTTTGTTGGTCTTAATATATACAATGTAACCAATATGTACATTTATAGATATATATGTATTTCTAACTTGCTGTAGAATTTTACAATTGAACACAAAGGCAAAGCAGATTGCTCTATAATTCATTGTTTCATTTTAGAAATGAAGGCACTATCTTACAATATGTCATTCAACTTAAACTTTCACATTCATAATATCAACTCGCCTCAGATGTGAGTTTTGGAATTTATATTTTACAAAGAAACAGCATTTGCCCACTATTCACAAGTCCCTAGCTTTAATATTAATACGTAGCACATCCAAACAAACAAATCAGAACCTGGGAGTGAAGAAACAAAGTCTGGTCTTATGGATTGTAAAGCTTGTAAATGTGGGAATTATAGGTGCAGACCTATGTGGGGGATAGCATTGCCATGGCTTCATGCTGTTGGTACCATAAACCATCTCTATTTGATGCTCTTTTTTACCCCCCCCCCAATTTTTGGAATAGTCTCATGTATCCCAGGTTGGCGCTGAATTCACTGTGTTGCCAAAGATGACCTTTAACCTCTGATCTCCCTGCCTCTGCCTCCCAAATGCTTGGATTGCAGTTGTGTCGGAACTCCCAGATTGTGCAGTGCTGGGGACTGAACCCAGGGTTTTGTGCAAGCAAGGTAAGCACTCTACCAACTGAGCCGATCTTCAGCCCTCTATTCTGTTCTTAAGTAGAAGAAAATTAGTTATTGGGAGCCAAGAATCCTTGACAGTTTTCTAGCACATTTCCAAGAACTTGAAAGTTAGAACTCAAGAAACTAGACAGCAAAATATCAAATAATCCAATGGAAAATGGGTTACAGAGCTAAACAGAGAATTCTCAACAGAAGAATCTCAAATGGCCAAAAGATATTTAAGGAATTGCTCAACATCCTTAGTTATCAGGGAAATGCAAATCAAAATGACTCTGAGATACTATTTTACACCTGTCAGAATGGCTAAGATAAAAAACTGATAACAGCTTATGTTGGAGAGGATGTGGAACAAGGGGAACACTCCTACACTGTTGGTGGGAATGCAATCTTGTACAGCCACTCTGGAAATCAGTATGGTAGTATCTCAGAAAATTGATAATCAATCTCCCTCAAGACCCACCAATACCACTCCTGGGCATATACCCAAAATATGCTCAACCACACTATGAGGACATTTGCTCAACTATGTCCATAGCAGCATTATTTGTAATATCCAGAACCTGAAAACAACCTAGATGCCCTTCAACTGAAGAATGGATAAAGAAAATGTGGTATATTTACACAATTTTGGAGTACTGTTCAGCAGTAAAAAGCAATGATATCATGAAATTCGTAGGCAAATGGATGGAACTAGAAAGAATCATCCTGAGTGAGGTACCCAGATCCAGAAAGACAAACACACTGTTTACTCATAAGTGAATATTAGATACAAAGCAAAGGATAGCCAAGCTACAATCCACAACCCCAGAGAAGCTAGGTAAAGAGGAGGACATTAAGAGGGACACACATGGATTGCCCCAAGAAGGGGAAAAGGTTAAGATCTCCTGGCTAAACTGGGAGT